GGTTTTGGCTAGTTTTTTTAACTGCCAAATTATGTTAAAGCTTTCTGCATTTGATTTGATAGCACTACTAGTACAAGAAGTAGTAGCACTACTAGCTAGCAGTACTAGTGTTAGCGACATTACTTCGGACTTCCAACAAACTACTACTGCACAAAGCTTGTGGCTGACTGAAACACAGAATATTCAAAGGTTGGTCTTACAAGGGTGGTGGTTTGACTAGTAAGAAAGGCTTGACTTGCTCAAGATGTTCTAGTTGGGGATTCTTGTTAACTGCTGCTACGGTACCACCAACACTGCAACTAGGGATTTTGATGAGAGCCCCCCTACGAACTTTTCTGACCAAAGCTTCCGATCAAATGTGGCTGATTGTTTGTAATGAAAAATTCAATAGATATATAACGATTACTAGCAGATGAATAATATTCTTGCTCATGATTCTTGCTAGAAGAAGATATTRCTTGGTGGATGATTCCTGTCAGAGCTCAGAGCAACCATCAGGCAGTGCTTGATATCATGTCTCTGCATTGGTTGTGGCGATACTAGTAGGCTAGGGTTTGTCGACTACTCCCAGGACAAAGTCCCCGATGCGCACTATTTTCATTGCCACCAAGGCACAGTAGAAACTAGTACGTAATGCCCAATGATTGAGGAGACAATCGTGTTGCACCACCAGCAATGGCGACGAACCCCGAAAGGAAGGGGGTACGGATCAAGGGCCGACTTTCATGGTGGTGGTGGCGGTGCGAGCACCGCTGCTGCCGAAGGCCGTTTGCGAGTGCCTGCAGTGGGCCTTCGAAAGATTCCTGCACGGCCACAGCGTGCAGAAAGGTCATGGTGCACGGTTGTTTGCATCGGAACGAACCAATCCCGTAGTTTTTTGGGAGTCGGCAGCATTCCGTGCGGCAACCGAAACGGCTGTTTCGCTGCCTTCCCCCCCGGTTCCCGCGGGCCCCCCGCCGCGCGCTGCCCGCTAGCCAAAGCCCTGCCACTCCGTGTTTTCGTCGCTGTCGTACCCGGCCACCTTTCCCAGGCACACGACCCCGTTTCGGAGCTTGGGCGTCCCCGTGTCCTTGCCCATGACGGTGGCGTCGACCTGGACGGACATGACGCACTTGCGGACGGGGGAAAGGGGGGCAGGGTGCTGGCCCTCTGCCATTGGAGCTCCGGCATCGCCGTTGCTTTCGCTTTCGTCGTTGCCGCCGGCACCGTTTTTGCTGGATCCATTGCCGTCGCTCTCGCACCGGTCTCCTGTTYGCCGGGGCCGCTCCCGTGGCGGATCGTGGTCGCTCCCACGCCACACCGACTCCAGGGCAAACCGGCCGCGGTAGGGACCCCGTCTCGATGGCGCCAGAGTAATCTTCAAAAAGTATTGGTGCTGCCGACACGAAAGCGTTGACGACGACGACGACGACGACGACGACGAATCCTTGCGATCGCCTGCAGGATCGCAGCCATCGTTGCTTGTCGTTGTCGACGGCAACGACGACGGAGAAAGGCATTCCTTCCTCTCGATTTCACCGGTCAAATCGTCGTCCAGGGAGTCTTCGATGATCCGYACGGTCGTGGAGCTGTCGGTGCAGCTGCTGCCGCCGCCGCCTTGGTTTGCGGTTTTGGTTGTGTTTCGCCGGTGGTCGGGCACCGGAATGACCAAGCGGTAGCGGTGCCCGCACTTGAGCAGGCCCATGCGCACCGCCAGGTTTTCGAACTCCACGCCGCCGCCCCCGCTTCCGCTGGTTTCTCTTTCCGGCAGCCCCCCAAAAGACACCGCCGGAGGACCCCGGTGGTTGCCGCCTCCCCGCGTCGGCAGGGAGACGCGCCCCAGCAGCGGGCCCACAAAGACCCCCTGCTCCTCCTCGACCACCACGCCGGTTCCGTCGCCCTTTCGGTCCCTGGACAGGGCGTCCTCCGCGAAGGACACCAGCTTGGCGCTCCCGCTGCGGCGTTTTGGGATGGGTGGTTCTTGTTCTGTCGTTTTCTCGGCGGCACCGTTCGCTGGGAGGGACAATGACGGTTCCATCGTGTGCGGGCCGTCCGGGGAGTGTGGATGCCTTGCTGCGGCTGTATTGGTTACTTGGTGGTGCCGGGGGTGTCCGTGTCTGTGTCGGGTTTCGGCACTCGGCTCTTCCCGGAAGCCGCCAAGTTCGTTCCGAAGATTCTGCGGTAGTACTTGTACGTAGCGTTCTCGTAGGTAGTTGTCACAAAATTTTCTGTCATTTCCACGGAATGCCTTGTGAGTGTGGAGGGGGAAAAGTAAAAGTGGAAATGCCTACGGAGTGTGGAGGGGAAAAYGTAAAYAGTGACATCGAGGGGATTCGAACCCCCGCCAATTAAGACAACGGCCTTAACGTTGCGCCTTAGACCGCTCGGCCACAATGTCGCTATTCTCRAMGCCMMAATTTCYTGTACACAAACTCACACTAAATTTCGTAGTAGTAGTTCCTAGCAGTGGTACGTACGAGAACTGTACAGTACCTGGTAGGAGAAAATCCCGCCTTGTCAATCGTTTACTCATCAAAATCTTTGCCGCAACCACCAGGAAGGTGAGGCGTATGTATGGATAGTACATGCGACGAATATGTAGAGTTACTGGAGTGCTATCTGTTCACCAACGCAAGACGACCATCNAGTACTAGTGTTAGCGACATTACTTCGGACTTCCAACAAACTACTACTGCACAAAGCTTGTGGCTGACTGAAACACAGAATATTCAAAGGTTGGTCTTACAAGGGTGGTGGTTTGACTAGTAAGAAAGGCTTGACTTGCTCAAGATGTTCTAGTTGGGGATTCTTGTTAACTGCTGCTACGGTACCACCAACACTGCAACTAGGGATTTTGATGAGAGCCCCCCTACGAACTTTTCTGACCAAAGCTTCCGATCAAATGTGGCTGATTGTTTGTAATAAAAAATTCAATAGATATATAACGATTACTAGCAGATGAATAATATTCTTGCTCATGATTCTTGCTAGAAGAAGATATTGCTTGGTGGATGATTCCTGTCAGAGCTCAGAGCAACCATCAGGCAGTGCTTGATATCATGTCTCTGCATTGGTTGTGGCGATACTAGTAGGCTAGGGTTTGTCGACTACTCCCAGGACAAAGTCCCCGATGCGCACTATTTTCATTGCCACCAAGGCACAGTAGAAACTAGTAGTGCCCAATGATTGAGGAGACAATCGTGTTGCACCACCAGCAATGGCGACGAACCTCGAAAGGAAGGGGGTACGGATCAAGGGCCGACTTTCATGGTGGTGGTGGCGGTGCGAGCACCGCTGCTGCCGAAGGCCGTTTGCGAGTGCCTGCAGTGGGCCTTCGAAAGATTCCTGCACGGCCACAGCGTGCAGAAAGGTCATGGTGCACGGTTGTTTGCATCGGAACGAACCAATCCCGTAGTTTTTTGGGAGTCGGCAGCATTCCGTGCGGCAACCGAAACGGCTGTTTCGCTGCCTTCCCCCCCGGTTCCCGCGGGCCCCCCGCCGCGCGCTGCCCGCTAGCCAAAGCCCTGCCACTCCGTGTTTTCGTCGCTGTCGTACCCGGCCACCTTTCCCAGGCACACGACCCCGTTTCGGAGCTTGGGCGTCCCCGTGTCCTTGCCCATGACGGTGGCGTCGACCTGGACGGACATGACGCACTTGCGGACGGGGGAAAGGGGGGCAGGGTGCTGGCCCTCTGCCATTGGAGCTCCGGCATCGCCGTTGCTTTCGCTTTCGTCGTTGCCGCCGGCACCGTTTTTGCTGGATCCATTGCCGTCGCTCTCGCACCGGTCTCCTGTTYGCCGGGGCCGCTCCCGTGGCGGATCGTGGTCGCTCCCACGCCACACCGACTCCAGGGCAAACCGGCCGCGGTAGGGACCCCGTCTCGATGGCGCCAGAGTAATCTTCAAAAAGTATTGGTGCTGCCGACACGAAAGCGTTGACGACGACGACGAATCCTTGCGATCGCCTGCAGGATCGCAGCCATCGTTGCTTGTCGTTGTCGACGGCAACGACGACGGAGAAAGGCATTCCTTCCTCTCGATTTCACCGGTCAAATCGTCGTCCAGGGAGTCTTCGATGATCCGCACGGTCGTGGAGCTGTCGGTGCAGCTGCTGCCGCCGCCGCCTTGGTTTGCGGTTTTGGTTGTGTTTCGCCGGTGGTCGGGCACCGGAATGACCAAGCGGTAGCGGTGCCCGCACTTGAGCAGGCCCATGCGCACCGCCAGGTTTTCGAACTCCACGCCGCCGCCCCCGCTTCCGCTGGTTTCTCTTTCCGGCAGCCCCCCAAAAGACACCGCCGGAGGACCCCGGTGGTTGCCGCCTCCCCGCGTCGGCAGGGAGACGCGCCCCAGCAGCGGGCCCACAAAGACCCCCTGCTCCTCCTCGACCACCACGCCGGTTCCGTCGCCCTTTCGGTCCCTGGACAGGGCGTCCTCCGCGAAGGACACCAGCTTGGCGCTCCCGCTGCGGCGTTTTGGGATGGGTGGTTCTTGTTCTGTCGTTTTCTCGGCGGCACCGTTCGCTGGGAGGGACAATGACGGTTCCATCGTGTGCGGGCCGTCCGGGGAGTGTGGATGCCTTGCTGCGGCTGTATTGGTTACTTGGTGGTGCCGGGGGTGTCCGTGTCTGTGTCGGGTTTCGGCACTCGGCTCTTCCCGGAAGCCGCCAAGTTCGTTCCGAAGATTCTGCGGTAGTACTTGTACGTAGCGTTCTCGTAGGTAGTTGTCACAAAATTTTCTGTCATTTCCACGGAATGCCTTGTGAGTGTGGAGGGGGAAAAGTAAAAGTGGAAATGCCTACGGAGTGTGGAGGGGAAAAYGTAAAYAGTGACATCGAGGGGATTCGAACCCCCGCCAATTAAGACAACGGCCTTAACGTTGCGCCTTAGACCGCTCGGCCACAATGTCGCTATTCTCRAMGCCMMAATTTCYTGTACACAAACTCACACTAAATTTCGTAGTAGTAGTTCCTAGCAGTGGTACGTACGAGAACTGTACAGTACCTGGTAGGAGAAAATCCCGCCTTGTCAATCGTTTACTCATCAAAATCTTTGCCGCAACCACCAGGAAGGTGAGGCGTATGTATGGATAGTACATGCGACGAATATGTAGAGTTACTGGAGTGCTATCTGTTCACCAACGCAAGACGACCATCTGCGAAATGTAAGTATGCTCTTTAGTGTCGTATAACTACGTGTTTACAATAAAGAGTGAGTGGATGTGCTGTTTGCTGTCACTCACTATTCACTCGTGATTTACTACGTGGTATTGCCTCACACCATCAACGACCAAGAAAAATAAATCATCGACGGCAAAAAGTTGTTTGTTGTTTTTCGTTGACGCCTTCCCTCGTCGCTCGCTTCGTACGTACTGGTATGTACAGGTATGTGCGGTACGGTACGTACCAATACCAATTTCGTCTTCGGACGATGGTTCTGTTTGCTCGTGGATGGTTGTTCCTGTTCCGTGGTGGCAGCGGCGTCAAATCCCGGCAACCCAACACCGCGAACAAGATCCCCTCCCCAACCACCACCACCACCACTAGCACTAGTACTAGCACCCAAACGACCACACCACACCACACCACACCACACCACACCGCACCGCTCCGCAGCACCCAACCCTTCCACCCAGCGCCGGGACAACAAGCATGACCACCACCGCCGGCGCCCATGCTTTCGTCCCCGAGGCCTACCTCGAAGGCCTCGCGCTGGAAACCTTCCTCCTGGAAACCCTCCTGAAGCGCCACCGGTGCAGCCACGGCCGGACCCTCTACTTCCGCCGCATGGAGATGGTCCTGAAGAAGCTCCTGCTCCCGGCCGGTCCCTCGGGGAAGCGCCCGCTGCTGGTGGTGGACGCCGTCCGAAGGCTGCAGGCCCTGCACGCGGAGGCGGACCGGTGCTTCCGGGAGCAGACCTTGGCCGCCGCGAGCCGGAAGCGGAAGGGGCGCCATTCCAAGGCGGACGAGCGCTGGGACCAAGGGTCCCTGCTCGCGGAGAAAAGAAGGGCCGCACAAGGGGCGCTCTCGGAGCTGGTCAGGGTCTGGACGGGGACCCTCCCCGAGGTCCTCTCCCGGATCAAGCACGCTTCGGGGGCCCTCTTCAAGGAGGCGAGCCGGGGGTTCTTTCTGCCCTTTGTGACGGTGGCCCTGGCCGCCCTCGCCCGGATACGGGCCTTTTGCGCGGAGATCGGGGCCCGGGGCCTGGCCAGGCTGCAGGAGCTCGACCCGGCACCAATATCGACACCGACATCGAATCCGAAATCGAGCGCGGCCCCGAACGTCCCAATTGCCGCGTACAGGCGCTGCATGGACCTCTTTGTCGAGCCCGGGGGCGGCGACCGCGAGCGACAACGGAGGGCGATGCTGCGAAGCGCGGGCGGTGACCCGGGAGGCCGGGCCGCCTTTGCGTCTTCCGACACGGTCGCCACCCTGAAGAGCCTGGGCCTCTCGCCACCGGGGTCTGCCGCAGCATCGGCCCGGAAAACGGCTAGCGAAGGGGACGGCGGAAAGGCCGCTTTGTCCGGCAAGGCCGGTGGCGGGGGACACGGAGAAGAGGGCGCCGAGACCCCGTGGAAGCCGTCGCCGCTGGCGGAAGACAAGGACGACGGCGAGCACGAGCACGACGACGACGACTACCACACCCTCGCGGCGGCACCGGCGCTCGCGGACGACTCCACGGGGGACGGATCGGTCGGCGGGGACGACCACCCCTCGACGCGTCCGGGAACCGGGCGGAACAGGAGCGCGGGCGCCGGCACCCACCCGGACGACGCGCTGGACCGCAACCTGTCGCTCGTCGACCGGTTTCGAACCAAGAAGAAGGGCGGGCCAGTTGGCGATCGGGGTGCTTCCGCCTCCGCAGAACAGCCGAGCCCGAAGAAGCGGGCCGCGGACCGCCCGGGCGGGGAAAGCAGGGGCAAGAAGAAACGAACCTCCAAGCAGCCGTCGAAGAAACGAAAGAAAAAGAAGGAAAAGGGCGGCGATTTCTTTGACGACATTTTTGGTTGATCGATTCGTTCGTTCGTTCGTTTCGATTGTTCGTTTCGACTGCCGATTGACGATTCCCAATCGAATCGAATCGAATCGAATCGAATCGAATCGAACCGAACCGAACCGAACCGGTACGCCGCCGACGTGGACTCCCCGGGGATCCGTTTTGCACCGATGGGCACCGCCCGGCAAGCCATTCAAGGCGGGAAAGCAAACATTGTGCTCGCTGTGCACGACAAAAACGGGAGCAGCCACCATACTCTTTCGGGTGTGCGGCATTCGATCGTTTTGTAGGACACTGCACTCGATCCGAACGAAATGGAATGGAATGGAATCACCTGCTAGCCTCAGCTGCTAGCCCCAATACGGTAGATTGCAAGCCCGGGCGACGCGAGAGAAAAAGCCCTGTATACGGATGCAGCCACAAAGGTTGTGAAGGATTGCATTCTCGTTCCCGGCCCGAAAGCAAACAACTATGTACAATAGTCGATAGCCACAATAATAGGTATAATGAGGTTTAATGCGATACGTGTGCGGCGGTACTATTGGTGCAAGGCAGGAACCGCCCGCCGACGCCGTAATGTAGAATCTTGCTGCCGTGGGTGTCGGGTGGGTTCGACACGGCATGCAGGAACGATTGTGCAAACAGAAACGCAGCCGAGCCAGTCCATCTCGCGTCCGGAACAAGCCACCGGCTCCTCCTTTTGTCTTTCTCAGTTGAGATTCGGCGCCATCATCATGAATCCGAGCATGCCGCAGATGGCGATCGACTCGAGGACTCCTTCCGCGGCAACAAGGTCTTTCCAAACGTTCACCTGCTTCGTTCCGGCGCGGTTCTCGGAGGAGGCTGCGTCCCTGGGAGTGGGCAGGTCCATGGCGATGAGCCCGTTGTCCAGGAGAATTCCGTCCAGCCCCACATCGGTGTCGATGCCCTCGTCGAAGCTCCCCTCGTCCGGGAACAGGTACGACTCCGGCATGTCGTTCTGGAGCCGCTCGAGCTGCATGGTAAGCTCCGTTTCCAGGAAGCGTTCCTTGATGAGATCGGGGGTCGTGGAATCCCCCAGCGCGACGTTTTGGACCCGGTGGGCGTGGATTTCTTCGAGAATCCAAGGCACGAGGCGTTGTGCAAGAGAAATCGGCAGCAGAAGCAGCAGACGTGAGACGTGCTTTCGTTCCGACACAATGCGGCGATCGGTCTTTTTATCCCGCCCGTAACATGACTTACCGTCCCTGCATTGCTTGATTTCCTCGAACGAATATTTCCCAAAGTTGGAGGCACAATCCTCCGCCAGATCGATGTCGACGTCGAGGTCGCGGAAAGGATTGTTCCCGTCGAAACGACTCGATGGCGCAGGAGCTTGCCGGTGGATCAAAAAGCCGAGAGTTGCATCCGGAGCTACAAAAACCAAGGCCAGGGCCAGGATTCCTTTGTGGTTGTTCATCGTGTCGCTAGTAGGCTGCGTCGTGCGTTGCGCAGATTTCTCTGGTTCTGTTTGTTTTTCTTTCGTTTCTCGTGTGTTCGATTCTCGAAAATCTTTTTTTTGTGGGAACGGCAATGACCAACAGCCCGTTGTGGCTGGCGACCGGTGTCAGCAGGAGATCTTGGCTTGCTTCTCCCCGGTCGAACCTACCGAAGAAAGGTGCCCGCCGCATGCGGAATCGAATCAAGACGCAGCGAAGAGAAGCGGCGCGACGCGAGCAGTCACCAATACAGTACGTACGCAATTGGTCGATCGTGCAATATGGCACGAAGTACTGTCCGGCATCGTGCGATACGATTGATCACTTTCCCACCGTACTGATTTGAGGAAAACTCAAACCGACAAGAACACCGCAATCATTCGAAAATCACGGCCCAGTCGTGGGCGTTCCCATCAAATGCACGACTCACAACGAATAGTATTCTCGGATGAACAAGGTGAGCACCAAAGCACAAGTACGGTAGTTACTACCTACTACGAGTACTAGTAGTAGTAATTGTAGTATTCCCTTTGGTACCGGCATGAAGAATTTTTTTATTGTATCGACATTTCAAAGACAACAGCAAAGTACTAGTATATTGCACAGCACAGCACAGCACAACAATAAAATGTGAACCGATGGAAGTCCTTATTCTTTTCTATTGATTACTAGTGACAAGCAAATGGCTTCCCCTGAATCAACCAGTCTTCTTCGATCTCGGACAAGGCTCCAATAAGGCCGATGGACAAGAATATGAATGAGTATATCAGAAGAAAATAGGAACGTGTGGAAAGACAAGAGCGATCAGGCAGCAAGAGAGCAATGTTTTTTGACTTTCGATTCAAAATTGCTGGAAGTGTCAAAGATAGTGGCACGCTGGTCAAAGCCCCAATCAGTGCGACTAAATCCTTGAAGAAGGGAATCGCATTCGAAACAGTGTAAGAAGAAAGCGAAACTACTAGAGTGATGCCGAACCAGCGAACGGCGGGGCGGCGATTGCCCAACCAGGGSAGCATCGATGTTCCTCGGACCGACGATCCTKCCGTYAGAGAGTGATCCAACGAGGCACAGAGCGCCTGGCTGTTGATGGCATAGCTCACTGCCACGTGAAACCACAAAAGCAACCCAGCCATCTTTCTCCCCCARCCATCGGGAATGGAATCGAACAGAAACGAGGGAGGGTCCGGCCCGGCCAACAGCACAACCAMGACATAGGCCGAGCCATAGGTGAACAAGGATCCTGCGAGGACCCTGGAAGCYTCGTCGCGATGCTTGAGCTCGTGGCGGATGTTCAAAAAGAGTTTTTGCGATCCTACGGCAAAGCCGATTCCGGCYAGAGACGAAAACTTCCCCCATATGCCATCATCATCCTCGTTGCCCTCGTCGTCTTGTAGCAGGCTTCGCGTCTCCGGAACATCTGTGGCGTAGTTCTCCGTGCTGCTTTTGCGCCGATGGTGAAAGAGGCATTGGATAATTACTATAAGAAGTGCCAACAGAGAGGCCAGTGAAACAGAACGGCCCAGGTTGGCCATGGTTCGAAACTGGCAGAGACCAAACATCAGTATACTGGCAATTGCTCCCGCTGTAGGAAGACAGAGAATATCCTCGCCAATGAATGCCGCAACGGATCGGCTCATGACGAGTATGTAGTCCCCCAACACCAAAAACAAGTTAACGTAATACAGAATCTTGACGAGGGCTGTGTAGGTGCGAGCAGCGAGAGTGTTGTCGGGTGAAAACAAGGCAGCTGTGATATTAATGAGGTCCGATGTTTGTTTGTCGTTATCTCTGTTGCTTGTGTGGATCCATATAGCACCAGCTGCTGCAGTTTCTGAGTCAACTTCGCCATCGTGCGGGGTCATTTCGTCTTGGAATGAGCCTTCCGAAAATTCCGCGTCCTCGCCATCATGTTTGGGTTCGTCGTGATTTTCGATGATCACGACATCTTCTTCCTCGTCGAAGATGCTTTCCTGGACGACGGCTACACCTGTATCCAGTTGTCGATGCTGCTGCGGCAATCCCTGATAGGACTGTTTCTTATTTGAAAATCTCTTTCGAATAGTTCTTACATTTGAATCTCCTGTCGCGGCGCTGTTCGCCGTTGCCGCAAGCTCCACTTCCATTGCGTCGGTGCAGACATCCGTCCCGTTACGTTCAGTTCCGTCATCTGCCTCCAGTTTCAAGGCCAGCACCGAAAGCAAGTTACCCGCGTAGAAATTAATGGGGCAGTTGACCACCAGAAAGGTCAATCCAGCCGCCCAACCCAGGACTTTGATTTCATTTGGCAATCCCAGTATGCCAACGCCCATACAGTCCGCAGTCAACAATGCAATCCCTTGCCACAATACTAGTTTATCTTGATCTACCTGGTCATCTGTATTGTCGTTTCTGCCAACACTACTACTGCTATTAGATACACCGACGACAGCTGCGGATTCGAGAGCCTCTCTGTTGCTATTGCTTTGCGAAGATGTTGAATCGGGGAAAACCGAGTCGGCAGTCACCATACTCGGCATCGCCAATTATTATCTATTACGGTATCGCAACAAGAGTGTGTACCGCAGTATCGAATAGAGTCTGAATTCCAAGTACAAAAGCGATGCAGAGATAAAGCGATGTACGAGCCTTCTTCTCTCAAACTAGCAAGCAGCGTGCTCTATTACACTCCTCACATGACACAATGGTACAGTGCACCGATATGTATGTCCCTGTTCCCAATTGTTTTCATGAAACAATGCGAGGAATTTCTTTGAAATTACTTCATCATTTGTCGTTTCTCTGTTTCATTGATGAAGCTGTACCGGCCGGTACGAGTACGTACTGGTACTGGTACTGGTACTGGTACTCTGTTCTGTACGTAACAAGGTTACGTATGGTTCATACCTCCGCCATCATTCTCGTTAGAAGAACGAGCAGCTATGTACGTACATATTGTTGTACGCTACGGTATGTACGTGCGAGTAATGCGCGAAAGGGAATGACCTCCACCGTGCTGTGTTGTGGATAGATTGTGGAGGTTCTTGCAGTAAATTCGTGCTACGTGCGTACTGTACAATACAACATCATTCGTACCGTATGGGTCTTTTTCTGAAAAAGACTTTCTTCTTGCGTACCGGCCTTTTCATAAATAATCAACAACAACTAATGCGTTACATTACTGTACGTTTCATGAATAGTATTCGCTTATGACTGTTGTCAAATATGCCCTTCAGAATCTCGATAGAAGACGATTGAACAAACTGTACGATCCTCCGAGTGAAGTACGTACCGTACAGTAACGTAAATGGAAAAAAATAATAAATACCTCCCGCAGGTGCGAAAATAAACACTCACGATCATCATCTATCCCCAAGAGTACGAAGTTGTTGTATTGGTCTTTGAATGGAGGTACAGCGGGATCTGCCTTCTGGGATACTCTAAACAAGAGAAACTAAYACCTTTGCACCATAGAGTAAGCGCAAAGACTGAAAAACAGATTCAAATACAACAGCAAGAGCACAGCAATGATTGTCCGAAAACTAAGCCCATCGAGATTGTTTCTTCTGCTAGTAGCCGCAATTGGGACGGGCACGGCATCGGCTTACGACTGGACGTGCAACCTATATTGTTATAACAAAGGAGTCTGTCGGCATGGACACGGGAAGTTTGGTGCTTATGCTGGGATTGATTCGGAAATAGACGACCTTCCGTTCGAACAGGAATTGCACGAGAACGGAATGTACTGCACCTGCCCCAAAGGTTACACGGGATTGCAATGCGAAATCAAATTCGTCACATGCGGAAGAGACAGCCACACTTGCTTTAATGGGAGCGCCTGTGTCAAAGAACGATCTACGGACACCGGAGAGGCCTTTTACCGATGCGCGTGTGACGCCGAGGGAAGCATAATGGATGCGCCTTACGCAGGAAAGTACTGTGAACACATCGCCACCGTCTTTTGTGACGGGGGCGGCGATGGGTTCGAGCACGGGTCGGCATTTTGCACTAACGGCGGAAGGTGTAGGCAGCAACAGACCGACGACCCCGACTTGGATTTTGCGTAAGTCTGGCCTCTAGATCTGGCTCTGGTATTTTGTTTCTGTTCTTTTTGGACGACTGGTTCGATCGCAATAGTTGCTCTTGCGCAACGGCTGCGCGCTTCAAACAGTCGAGTCGCTCACAACGCTCGCTCCGTTTGCTTGTTCTCGTACCCSTGACACCACAGAAACTCTGGTTGCGACTGTCCAGAGGGGTGGGAAGGACGCCACTGCGAGATAAAAACAGTAACCAGCGTCAGCACAGTCGCTGAAGACATAGTGCACGAGATGAAAGAATTCCTCAGCGCGGGAGAGATTGCTGGTATTGTCATTGGCTTTTGTRTAGGAATTTCTCTGCTCATTTGTTTCAGAAAGCAGAGGTTCTTCTTCAAAACCGGTTTCAGGAAAAGCCACCGAGGAAGGGGACGAACCAATCGACGGCACGGGCGGAAACAACAAGAGATGACAATGTATTCCGATAATAGAGGAGATATAATTTAATGGAAGTGCACAGAATCAAATTCAGTCGGATAGCAGCAACGGGATACGGACTCGCTTACCAAGTGTACGGGAATAAATATAGGACTTGTGGGTGAGAACGGGTCTTGGATTTTTCGGATTGATTTTGCTTCAACTCAATAGCAATTTTGACATCGCTTCTAGTTGTCGTCAATTCGCACTGTTTTGCAGCACGAATGGTATATAGATTGAACATGTACTAATAAAAGTAAAGCTGATTTTCATAACTGAGCTTTGTTATAACTTCTCATAAGACCATTGCACAATATCGTGAGGTGAATAGCATGCAGARCTGCTAACGTCGTCCATGAGTCTTACTGTTTACGAAGAAGTTCAGAAACATCATCATTATAGTACTGTATTGCAGTCCTTTCTTTTATGTGAAAAAGGCAACAGAAACGGTAATGTTGTCGGTCGAACCCCTCTTCAAGGCCTCTTCCACCAAATATTTTGCCACCAATTCTTTCTCTGCTATCCGATCTAGAACAAAGTCGACCGCCTCCTGATCCTTTATAACATCCCACAAACCATCGCACGCCAAACTTTTGGAATAAAATACCAATATAATACATTGAGCATTGGACACGAGAACGAGAACGCGTCCATCCGGAATCGAAACGTGAATCAGAAAGGAAAACGAAGCACAGCTCATCAGTCAGCATCGGGCAAGAAGTATTTTGTCTGGAGTGTAAATCTGAAATGTAAATCTGTGTATGTATGTCATCGTGTTGAAAAATGACTCACATTATGAATGATACGTCTGTCTCAGGTGCTACCGTGATGCTGTTTTCAGATGTGTATGGTTTTGCAATGACCTAAAGYAGCAAAAAAGAATGGTTTGAAGAATTTACCAAGATGAGAAGTTCAATCAAGTCAATACGCTTCCCCGTCCGTCGCTCGCTCTTTCATTTCGTTCTGTCTCGGACTCACGTATTCTTTCATACAATGATCTCCCAGGGACCTGGTTACGGCCAAAATCCCAAGAACCCTTCCCTTGAAAATAAAACCCCCGCTGTCTTCRATCCGTCGGACTTCCTCCGGATCGTCTGTTCTATGGTCTTTTGTAAGCCGGTGGGCCTTTTTCCCGTGCCCCAAAACAATTCTAGCGTCGCCGACATTCGCCGCATAAATGGTCCACACGTTTTCCGGATTGCTTTCGCTGATTTTGCCATGGTGTTGGTTTTGATCGGTGTCGCCGGTATTTGTTTTGTACATGTTGTTGCATCCCCTTGTAACTAGACACATCGCTACGGTAGCGCCCGAACTCATCAACCCCATCGTCTTCGAGTGAATATCGGTTATCAGAAAGGCCCGTTCCAATCGTGCCGGTATGCTGTCGCCATGCGTTGTTGTGCGTTTTTCTCTGCCACCGGTGCTGGTACTGGCGCTGCTACCAGATCCCGCGACCACGTTTTCCGGCGGATCTATTTGAAGTTCCGCAGAAACGTGAAACAGGAGTGCGTCCTCGAGGAACTCAACAATGTCGCGCCCTCCGTGTCCGTCCGCCACGGCCAGCATGGCCATGTTTGCGTCGGGGCAGCCCCAGGTTCCGGACGGAGCGTAAATGCTGCAATCCTCGAAGGACGACCGCCGCGACGGATTCATTTCCTCGCAGGTGGAGACCAGACAAATAGGAGGAGGGATGCCATCGTTGGTCTCGGRGTGGTCGTGGTAGGGATTCAGTCGCACCGAAGACGACGGCATGCTCGCCTTCGTGGAAGGAGGCGAATCTTGCTGTTTGGAGCGAGAATGAGACTGTTGAGCCGATGGTGTCGATGTGAAAGACGATCCGGGAGCTTGCGGTTCTTTCTTAGGTGGATTTCCTGGCATGTGCTCGAGACCTGGATCATTCTGGAGGGCTGTTCTTTCCTTGTTCGAAGTGGATGGCATCATGGTATTTGCCTTTGCCCTTGTGCTTGCATCAACCTTTGTATATGTCTCCTTGTTCGAGTTCGCTTTTCTTTTGAAGATGATAGTGATGGTTTGAACGGTGTTTCAGATGGAACTATGCACCAAATTGGACCTACATAAAGCTTGTCGGTTTCGGGCCCGTCTCGACATATTTCCTTCAAAATTCAAAACCCCTCCGAGAACGGATAGCGAGTTCGTATCGTGAGCTAAGGCCCCCCATAATGGCAAGTTATTGGCAATTCCCGTACAAACACCAGTAGAAAAATTTAGCTCATTTTTACAGGTAAATCCCGTTATTTTAACCGTCAGTGAAATAAAAACAGTTAAAAATTGTCATTTCGCTAGCTGTCTTACCGAATGGCTAGACACTGGCACAGTTTCTCCAGAGAAATACCCTACATCCCTTCATCCAGTTATCCATTTTCAGAGTGAGATTGGTTGGCACCACGTGTTCGCCGGTCACATTTCACTCCAGTGGTTTACTGATCTTGATCTTCTTCATTCCAGCTCTTACGCTTGAGTGACTTGAGTCTCCGCAAACAAAACAGATCACTTGAGTCTCTGCAACACCAGTAAYGCATCTGCATGTCAGCTCCTTGAGTCTCTGCAAACAACGCAAATAACTTGAATACAGAGATCCACACTGCAAGCCGGTTCCTTGAGTATCCCCAAACGCAAACGCGTCCGCACGCTGGTCCCTTTAGTATCCGCAAACATAACATCCATTTGCTTGAGTATCAAAGAAGCATCACACAATGGTTCCTTGAGTATCAAAGCCTCCACACGCAGGTCCCTTGAGTATGAGACAGTTAATTGCCATTTTGCTTGAGTATCCGCAAACACAAGAACGACTGTTTGCTTGAGTATTGAAGTGTCACACGCCGGTTCCTTGAGTATCGAAGCCTCCACACGACGGTTCCTTGAGTATCAAACAAGCCTCCACACTCCAGTTCCTTGAGTATCTGCAAACGCAAACACAAATTGCTTGAGTATGAGACAGTTAATCGCTGTTTTGCTTGAGTATCAAAGCGTCCGCACGCCAGTTCCTTGAGTATGAAGCRTCCGCTTGCCAGTCCCTTAAGTATGAATGAACACTTGTGGATGAGTATAAATGAACACTTACGGATGCCTTGTTTTGCTTGCGGATGAGGTAATTTGATGTGTTTGCTTGTATTTTTGTTGGTGGAGGTGTGGCATTGGTGGATGGAGGTATTTCCAGTACTGATTTGCTGTAGAAAATACATACATACATTACGTAGGTTTTGTAACACAGTACTGTAATGTACAGGGTACATGCGCATGGCAGGCACACCAGCCGGCCCTGGAGGTTCGGAATTGCCAAAAATTTGCCATTATGGGGCCTGTACTTAGTAGCTCTAGTACATACCGTACACAGAGGATTGCACACATTGGCATACTATCTTCAAGAATGAAGCAATCTGCACTAAAGTAGTACTGTAAATAGTRAATATAACGTTTTGGTGTTTATGGTGATTTGTGGGAATTACTTCCTTCGTCCATCAATGAATGTCCAGTTTGCACCTACCGCTTCTTCTTGTGAAATACAGCAGTAAGCTGAATATTGAATACCATTAGGGCAATTTGAATGGTTCTTTTTCATTTTATTGATCTTCATAGCACTATTTAAATGCATTATGCCTTTCAATGTCATACCAGTAATAATAAAGTTATTAGCCTTYAAACAGAGGTTTTTTGGCACATGAATGTGATTTTACTAGCCAATAGTTGGTGYGTTCTGGTCACCACCATTTTGTTCAGTAGGTGCACATGATAGCTATGTACTTTCAAGCCTGTAATTCTTCCCAGTATGGAGAAGTTTCATGTATTGGTCATTCTTGTTTCTTAAAAGAGGTGCATCATTCCATGGTCAATATATTGTTTCCTTTGTTAATTGACTCTTCTTGCTTTACTACTACTAATTTCATGGTGTGTGTAGTAAAATTAATATTTATTCAAGCACATGTTCATTTCTAGTCTCTTGTACTGATTATACATATTCTACACAGTYATTTCTTAAATTCAACCATAAAGTAAAGAGGGGACAATCATTGTACYATGGACAGCAAAAGAAAAAAGTTGCACTGGACGGTCATAGATTCTGGTYRACACAGGAKGWWST